GGGAAGGTCGCAGCGAGCAAAACCAGTGATCTCGTGGACTCTCTGAGCCCACCTGTCAACACTAGAGGAGGAAAGGGTGAAGGTGCTCTTCTGCACATTGATCAGCTGGCCGGTGACCGAGCTATAATGCTCCAGAAGGTGCATAAGCTCGATCAGCCCATCATCATCCGCTCGAGTAAAGATGATGATGTCATCCGCATAGGAAAGGTGCGAAACGGGAGGGCCATAGCCACGGGTGCTATAAGTCATCTGAGGATAGTCGCGGATGAAGCCGTCAAGGCAGCGAGAGAGGTAGTCCGCCGCAAGGACAAAAAGGGACGGGGAAAGGGGGTCTCCCTGTCTAAGGCCTCTAGACGAGGGGAAAAAATCAGTAGGGTTACCATTAACCAGGACGGAGAACGTGCAATGCTCCACACACGCCTCAACAAAGCTAATCCAACGAGCAGGGAATCCCATCCTAGCCAGTGCCTCCCTAAGGAACGGCCACTCCACTCTATCATACGCCTTAGCCATGTCCAGCTTCAGCGCGATATTCGGAGCCCGCTTCCAGTCAGCGTGGGAGATATCGTGAATCATCTCCTGTGCCAGAAGTATGTTATCACTAATGACCCGATCCTTGACGAATCCACTCTGGTTCGGAGAGATAAGGTGGGGGAGGATCGGGGAAAGACGGCCATTAAGAATTTTGGAAATAAGCTTGTTGGTCACGTTACACAGGCTGATGGGCCTGTAGTCGGACCAAGAGCTCGGATTGGGTCTTTTGGGAATCAAGACGACAGAGGTAGCCGTGAAGGAATCCGGCATCCGGTGACCGGCGAAGAAATCCAACACAGCCTCCTCGACATCAGGCTGAATAATATCCCAGCAGACCTGATAGAAGAGGGAGGAGAAACCATCGGGGCCAGAAACACTGTTGGGATCAATCCCGAAAACAGCATCCCTAACCTCCTCCCTGCTCGGGAGCTCACAGAGGTCGACAATGTCGATCAAAGGAGGGATGGTAGGAAATAAGGTGATGGTCGGGGCAATGAGGGACCCTCTATCAGCGGTGAAGAGGGCCTGGAAGTGATCAACAGCCAAATCCCGAATCTGAGACTCCTGGGTCAGGGATGACCCATCAGCCTCAATACTATGGATGTACGACTTAGCACGCTTCTGCCTAACGAAGCCCTGGAAAAACCTAGTGTTCCGCTCGCCCTCTGCCACCCAGCGAACGGCCGCCTTCTGCTTCCAGAAATCCTCCTCCATAAGGAGTTGGAGCTGGTACTCGGCATGGCAGCGGTGCATCGCAGTCCTATTCTCCGGAGTAGGGTCCAGATCATAGGCCCGTTCAGCCTCCGCGTGCGCACTCTGTGCCGCAGAAAGGCGGTGATGGAGGTTTCCAAAAACATCCCAGTTCCACTGTCTCAGCCTACGCCGCAATCTGTCGAGCTTAGCCTCGAGATTGCGCATCCCAAAGAGCCCAGTCGGATGAAGCCAGGAATCCCTGACAGTGTCGTGGAAAGAGTGG